GTGTGTGTGTGTGTGTGTATGTGTGTTGTTTAGTATATTTCCCCAGCTTGCCGACTATATTATAGTATTGCGCAATATAACCCAGCAAACAAGATTGGTTGTAAAAATAGTGTCTAGACAAAGAAATAACGACAAAGATTTGGGAACTTCGATTGCTTCCCATGCTAGTGAAACTTGAATCTTGGCTGAGAAAGGAAAATACAAAGAAAATATGTTTGGAAATTGTTTTTCTGGAAGATGAGATTTTTGTAAATCATGAAATACATGTACTCAATAGAATCTTTTTTTTTTCTTTTTTTTTTCTTTTTTTTCTTCTTTTTTTTTCTTTTTTTTGGACCCAGTTAAATTCTATCATCTGGCGCTTCTGTGTTTAGTAATAACAACAAACTGTGCTGCATTTGGGGTTTTGAAATTAGCAGCTAGTGTTAGAGTAAGCAAACAGGAAAATGCTTTACATATAAGTTATAAATACATTAATAAATAAGTAAATACATATGTTTCTTCACTCTTTTAATGTTTTTGGTAAGTTACACATATAAGTGTTGCCATAGCCCCAAATGCTCAATAGAATTGTAAAAACAGGAGACGTTTCGACAGTTGAAGCCAATTAATAAGGGTCACTGCAAACAAAGATTCCGTCACGTTTTCATTAATCGTGTAAGTGTAAGCCAAAAATCGGGTACGGGATTGACGGCATACACCTAAAAAAACATAAAAAGGTTGGCCTATTTTTATTTTCATCAACACTACTTGTGAGACTTGGTCCAACAGACGGGTGAGTACTTTTCGAGATTCACATGGGGATGTCTAGCCCTATCCGTACGCCCTGGGGTCTTTTTGTACCCCCGGTGTTGTATTCTTCCCATTTTAGAATACTTCTACTTTGAAACTTTCAGTATTTCTCAAAAAATCATTTTGACAGACTGCTATGCAAAGCGTACAGATCGGATTAACGAGTAAATTTCCTCTTTGGAAAGTGGTGGCACAGAGTTCCCCACGTCGTATAGACACGATAGTAAAACACGACGTACGGATAGGGTTAAACAGTGTAGGGAGGACATCTACAAGTTAGCACACTTAAATACCCGGGCAGAGTGGCGTCTCTGTCTCAAAATGAGAAGGCCCTATATTATGTTGAAGTTGAAGGCAAGACGAAGAGGTTCAAAGATACTAATTCATTTCTCATGGTGATCCCGTGTATGTGTCCAAGGGGCGGGGTTTAATAATAATATGGACCCCAAGTAAAGAAACTTTTTATTACCGGATCAAGATTTTTGCGAACAAATTTCTTCTTTTTTTTT